TGCAAAGACTCCAATTGATGTGAATCTTGCATTAGCAAAGAACAAAGGCCAGAGCATATCACAATTGGATTATGCTCGTGTGTTGGGTTGCTTAATGTACATCATGAATTGTACACGACCAGATATAGCTTGTGCTATAAGTAAATTGAGTCGATATACGAGCAATCCAGGCCAATCTCATTGGATGGCCATGAAACGAGTTTTGGGGTATTTAGTACATACCCAGGACTTTGCTTTGCACTACAATAAATATCCTGCGGTCATTGAGGGATACTGTGATGCAAATTGGATCACCGGATCAACTGATTCCAAGTCCACAAGTGGATATGTATTCACTATTGGTGGAGGAGCGGTATCTTGGAAGTCATCCAAACAAACTTGTATTGCCCGCTCTACAATGGAGGCTGAGTTCATAGCCTTGGATAAAGCCGGTGAAGAAGCTGAATGGCTCCGGAATTTCTTGGAAGATATTCCATTTTGGCCCAAACCGTTGGCACCAATATGCATACATTGTGATAGTCAAGCGGCAATTGGAAGGGCTGGGAGCGTTATGTATAACGGTAAGTCTCGCCATATACGACGAAGACATAAAACCGTTAGACAATTACTCTCTAGAGGAATTATCACGATTGACTATGTAAAGTCAAGTGATAATGTGTCGGATCCACTTACAAAAGGCCTAACTAGAGAGGTAGTTGAGAAGTCATCAAGGGGAATGGGACTGTGGCCGAGAACAAGTCATAGTGGCGGTAACTCTACCTAGAAGACTGGAGATCCCAAGATCTAGGTTCAAGGAGATCAAACAAAGTCATTTATGACGGTTCAACATTGTCAACTAAACTTTTGGTCCATTCTCGTGATGAGACAATGTTCAGTACCAAGGATAAAGCATTAAGGCTTTTTAATGATTTCTAAATTTGATACGGGGTATATCAAATAGTGTATCTACGGGATGACACGTTTAGGAATCACCTATGTAAGTGTGAAGTGTTAGCCGCTTCAAGGAGAACATTGTAAGGCCAGTTCTCTACGCACTTATGAAACCAGGCGGTGTTCATGGCTGAAACGAACACAACAATGAGAACCAAAGACGGTTAAGGGTTGGTTGTGTGACTTGTGGTTGTCTAGGTATACACTAAAGTTCGACGGTTCAAAGATATCAAATCTACCGATTGATCGAGTATATCCGACATAAGTTCACTACGGAAAGTTCAAAGGGAAACCTACTTATCCAGATGCAATTAATCCTTACTTGCGAATCACACAGTTTTTCATGCATACTTCCGTGATATAGCTATTCCCATTCATGGTGGGGATTGTTGGGTTTGATGTGTTTAATTAATATATTAAATACTTAAAGAGGGTAGAAGTGGGAAATGGAGGGAAATTAAAATTTTTGAGTGTAAATTTTACGTTACCCCCCCCCCCCCTCTTGGCAAATGGGCATTGTCCCATATTGGAAGAGGAAGAGGTTTTTTATGAATTGCTCTTCTTCTAGCTCTTAAAGAGTTGAGAAGAAGGCAAGCCTCACGCCGTCGTCGTCGTCGTCGTCGCTCGCTCGGCTCGGCTTCGGCTTCGGCTTCGGCTACGGCAACGGCTTCGGCTTCGGCTTCGGCTTCGGATTCGGATTCGGATTCGGATTTGGATTTGGTCAAATGATCGATTGATTGATTAACTTTTTGGACCAAATTTATTTGTTAATAGTAAAATATTAACAGAAATGTTATTAAATATTTGTTTTAATAACAAAATATTAATATTAAATATTAATATTAAATCCAATCCGTTTTTCTGTTTTGGTAACAGAAAAGTAACTACCCTCTTCAATTTTCCCTCTTTATTTTCCCTCTTTATTATTGAGTAAATGGCCATTTATGTAATGGCATTTATGCTGTGGGCGTTTTGCATAAACAGCCATTCTGAAGAGTTGCACCTCTTCAGATTTCAGCCTAACTTTGGCTATAAATACAACACTATTCTGCTCAGAATTTCACTACGATTTTCTGAGTTTCTTCTCCTTCTTCTGCATACTTTTAGCATCAAACAAAGCAAAAAGTAAGTGTGATTTGCTACCGAACTTTGTGTTCGCTGAAACACTGGGGTTTGAAGTACCACTATACCAGTGTGTAATTCGTTCTATCCTGAGAGGAAATAATCCATAACCTTGGGTACTAGGAGGGGATTAAATTCCTTAAGGAAACACTGTGAATTCAGTGGGCTCGAATTGGTTTTATGTCATTTCTGTTTATGTTCATTTCTGTTTATACTCATTTATATTTCCAGAATTATTTTACAAATACAGTCTACTAACAGAAACCAGGTTTCTCAAAGTAACCTGAATAGAGAGGATAGAACAGAACATAGCCAGCTACAAACACATTTTCTTCTTCGGTTTTGAATAGTTCTGATTCTGAGTCTACAATAGGTGACTCAAGATTTATTGTTTTAGAATTGGGTCGAAAATGGAATCTTTATTGGTTGTTTTAGGGAAATTATTGGATGAGACTTCCAATATAAATGTTGTTACATAGTAGAAAGGAGGGCAGGGATTATTATTTTTGAAAAGATTTGTAGAGACGGAAGTCTCCGTGGCATTAAAGACTTTTGTATAATCGTGATATTGTGCCATTTTATACATATCATTTTATGGAGATGTGGCACGTCCAATTCCGTTCCAAGGCGAACTCTACCAGAGATCTGAACGTTGATTTTCTCCGCCACTGTTGGTGCTGCTGCTGGTTTTGAAGCTCTTGACGTTAGAGTATGGGAAGTTATAGGGGCTTTAGTCTGTGGTGTTCTAGGCTCAACTGCAACTACTTATTTATAGTACTAACAAACTTGTGATTTAATGTTTTGTTCTAATTTAAGTGAACTTGAGTTTATAGTAACTTTATGTTCTAATTTAAGGTCCATACATAAAATTAATTAGGTCGTCAAATTGGACAAAGCTTTGACTTATACACTGAATAGGTGAGGTCTTCTGCGCTGCAAAAGAATGAATCCTCCAACATGAACGCTTATTAGTCGACTAATTAATCGAGTAGTCGACTAGATATAATAACTTAACAGTTATAATGACAGAAAGTAAATTGCAGAAGGTAAATGCAGGAATTAAAAACACCGAGATTTTATACTGGTCCGGATTCAATGTGAATCCTAGTCCAATCCCCTTGGATTGCAAGGGAGTTCTCTTTTAGTAAATGTATTTCTCCGAGTACAGTTGGAGTGAATTGACAACACCGTTTCTCTAGCACTCGTTTCTTTTTTATACAATACCTCATCAGTCTTATACTCTCCTTTTTTTTTCTCTGACTTGTTACACAGCAGATCTTAGTGAACTGTAATGTTTGTTTGCAGTAGAATAAAAAGAGTGGTTTTTGGTTCGATCAAAGTATGTCTGACTAGGGTTTAAGGCTGGGTATAAATACTTTGATGAAGGTCGAGGCTTGACAACCCAAGAGATTTGATCCTTGGAAAGAGATTGATTCTTTCCAAGAATAAGATAGCTGGCCGTTGCTTTCCCTTGATTTCCTTCCTTCAGCAGATGTATGTAATGAAGACTTGCTCCTTAATTGTTGGTTCTTCCGAAATTAGTCGCGTATCATTCTTTACAGAATCTTCGATCTTCCGGGATGCTGGCCTTCATTCATGCCTTAAGTTTAGGCTTGCTTGATTCTCTCCATCGCAGCTGGCCGTTACTCTTTGCTGATTTAATTGTAATCTTTGTTGATTGATTTCTTTCCTTAGGCATAAGGATTGACTCCAACAGTCTTGTAGTATCTTCTTGATTCCTTGTAATTGATTTCCTGCATATGTATATTATTTGCATCATTAAAACTGGATCTAACAATCTCCTCCTTTTTGTTGATGACAAAATAATATATAAATGTAAACACCAGTTGACTTCCCTATGTTTTACTCCCCCTCAATGTATGCAGTTGACTAGTCCATGATACTCACCCTCAATATATGCAGTTGACTAGTCTGAGATAGAGTCGACTTCTGCCGCAAGTTGTACCTATACAGATAGAACATATACTCCTCCTCCCCCTTTTTGGCATCAGCAAAGAGGGAACAAGACATGAACTAAACAGAATAGATAGCATTGAAGCAGAAAAGTTATAGTAATCATCCAACGGCTGGGAAAACAGCCCAATAAAACAGCACAACAAAAAAATAAAAATTTCCAAAGGCTGAAACACAGCCCAAAACCAGCAGAGCAAAAGAAATTGTCTTTAAACATCCAAACTAACGGCGCAGAAAATAAGTAAGGGTGTTGCAGATGGCCTCTTTTAACTGTTCAAAGCTTGCATTGGCTGAGATGCTCACTCCATCCAACCTGTCATGAATCTCCCTGAAGGCTTTGACAACATTCTCCCTATCTCTGAGAACTCCAACTCTAATTTTGGACACATCAGACCCTGTTTCCTTGGAAATCGCATGAATGTCACCAACAGTAGATTGAGTGGCTATGAGAAGGTTTTTGATTTCAGAGAATTGAGAGTTAATAGCACGAAGCTTTGTGCCAAGATCAGGACTGTCAAGACTGGGATGAGGGACAGAGGGTGAAGGTTTGGGCTCTACAGGGGCATGCTTTGCTTTACTATCGTGCTTCTTAACCCAAGAGCCTTGTATACTCACATATCCCATACTGGCAAAGGCTCTAGAATTGTAGGACTTAGAGACAATGATGAAGGGATAACTGGACAGGGAAATTTGATGAGCTTCCAGAATGTGAGTGATGCCATGCCATAGGGTAGACTGGTGGGATCTTCAGCACTCTCGATCATGAAATTGATAACCTAGGAAGAAAGCTTGAGTTTGAGTTTGGTCACGAGGAAATAGACGAAGAAGGTGTCTCTTTGAGAGAAGGTTGAAAAGGAACCAGTACGGGGAAGCAAAGTAGTTGCTACAATGTGGGCCAGAACCCGAGTTTCGAAACTAACATCACTGGGACCTAACTGGTTTGGAAGGGAGTCAGAAGGACACTCAGCAATACACTATTTGGCTTGGTCAAAGGAAATTTCAAAGTCATCAGGCCAGGTGTTTTTAAACAGCATAGGAAAACCAGAACAACGACACTGAAAGAGCGAATCAAACAGGGCACACTCAAGAACAATGCGCTTACCTAACACTAGAGATTCCGACCTATCCGATTTACTAGAAAGAAGATTTGCATAAAACATTTTTACCAAGGGTTCATATACCTTAGGCGGAGGAATAGAGAAGAACTTAACCCAACCTTGATGAATGAAAAGGTCTTTGACCTTGCAATTGAGGGCTTCCATGTCGTCAAGGTCGACAACCCTTCCATGAGAAATGGGCTTGTCTTTCAGAGCAATGAAGAAATTCTTATTTGGGGAATCCAGAAATTGAGGTCAGATTCAAGAGAGGCAGAGAAATCAACCTTGGATTTCTTTGGGGTGGACGAAATAGGGGGTTCGTCCATGGGTCGCTTACCTAAAGCTTTTTCTCCTAGGAGTTGTGAGTGTTCAGAGAAATTTCCCTGAGAGGAGGCGAAACCCTCAGAGTGATCGGACCCTAGGTCTACTTGTTCTGGGGGCATAGAAGGGGGTTTTGCTTTGGAACGGGTGCTTTTTCTGGTGGAAGCAGAGGGATTTCTGGGATGTTTGGCCATTGTAGAGAAGGGTTTTGATCGGAACTTTTGGAGAACAGATAGAGATGAGAGTGATTGAAAAGGGTTCTCTACCTTAAGAAGAGAGTTTCTGACGGTTGAGTACAGAAAAGGAAAAATTGTGAGACGTGATGACTGACTTTCCAACTTTGAACGACGAACTGATGTGAAAGAAGAGAAAAGAGAGGGAAAACCGGAGGCGTAATTAATGCATGGGTAAAGGACAATAATTACAAAAAAAAAATTAACAGTGCACATAGGTCCTAAGGGTTATTAGTGATGCAAATAATACCAAGTAAATTTCTTTAATCACAAAATCTCTCTTCTAATAAAGGTTTAGTAAAAATATCAGCTAATTGATCAGTGGCTCCAACAAAAGATATTTCTATGTCTCCCTTAAGAACAAGATCTCTAATAAAATGATGCTTAATATCTATATGCTTTGCTCTAGAATGATGCACAGGATTTTTGGAAAGACAAATAGCACTAGAGTTGTCACAAAAAATTTGTATAGGCTTAAACGAAAGTTCATAGTCACCCAGTTGATGAGACATCCACAGTAGTTGTGCGCAGCATTGTCCAATAGCAATGTATTTAGCTTCAGTAGTAGACAATGCGACTGATGCTTGTTTTTTACTGTTCCAGGATATCAATGCCTTTTCCAGTAATTGAGATGTACCACTTGTGCTTCTATCATCCTTATCACCTGCAAGGTCAGCATCTGAAAAACCTTCTAATTTAAAAGAGTTAGAGCGAGGGTACCATAATCCATAAGATACAGTCCCAATGAGATATCGAATGATTCTTTTTACCGCAGTCATATGTGATTCCTTGGGAGCTGACTGAAACCTGGCACATATACATACGCTGAACATAATATCTAGTCGACTTGCTGTCAGATACAGCAGTGATCCAATCATTCCACGATATTTAGTTTCATCAACAGGAATACCATGTTCATCTTTGTCTAGATTTGTGGAAGGGCTCATTGGTGTGCCAATTGATTTTGCATTGCTCATGCCAAATTTTTGAATCAGCTCTTTTGTGTATTTGGTCTGACATATGAAGGTTCCTTCTTAAGATTGTTGAATTTGTAGTCCAAGGAAGAACGTAGGCTCACCCATCATACTCATTTCAAATTCGCTTTGCATAAAATTTGAAAATTCCTTGCACTTGACAGGGTTAGCACTACCAAATATAATATCATCGACATAAATTTGAATAATGAGGTTACCTTCCGATGATCGTTTAATGAACAAGGTAGTATCTATTTTACCTCTTGTAAAGCCATGATCAACAAGAAAGGAACTCAGTCTATCATACCAAGCACGTGGAGCTTGTTTTAGCCCATACAGCGCTTTCGTGAGCTTGTATACATGGTATGGAAATTTTTAATCTACAAAACCTGGAGGTTGTTTCACATATACTTCTTCTTCGATAAATCCATTCAAAAAGGCACTTTTAACATCCATTTAAAATAGCCTGAATCCTTTAAATGATGCGTATTCCAGAAGAATTCGTATGGACTCCAAACGAGCTACTGGGGCGAAAGTTTCATCATAGTCGACTCCTTCTTGTTGTGAGTAGCCCTGAGCAACTAGTCTGGCTTTATTTCTTACGACCTTTCCACCCTCGTTTAATTTATTTCTAAAAATCTACTTTGTTCCGATTACAGACACATTATCAGGTTTGGGTATCAAATTCCACACTTGATTCTTACTGAACTAATCTAACTCTTCTTGCATAGCTTGCACCCAGCTTGAATCTTTTAGTGCTTCCTCTTTTTTTGGCTCAATCTGAGAGATCAATGCGATATTTGCTTTCTTTTTGAGAGCTCCCCTGGTTTTCATTCCTTCATATGAATCCCCTATAATGAATTTCTGAAGATATTCAGGCTCGCTTCTCCATTCATTTGGACAAACTACATTTGTAGTTGACTCGATTGGTTGATCTGGTACATTTATGCTGACTTTACCAGTTGACTCTGTCGCAGCAGATATATCAGTCGACTCTTGTGATTTGCTTGTCTCCTGAGTTTCTTGAGCTTGATCTTCATCACCTGCAGTAATTCCTTTCTCGACCAAGGGGTTATTTTCATCGAATATAACAAGTACAGATTCTTCCACACATAATGTGCCTTTATTATAGACTCTAAAAGATCTACTATTTAATGAGTAACCCAGAAAAATACCTTCATCACTTCTTGGATCGAACTTTCCAAGATTATCCTTACCGTTATTGTGGATAAAACTTTTACTTCTGAAGGGATAGAAGTAACTGATATTTGGACGTTTACCTTTCCATAGTTCATATGGAGTCTTCTTCAGAATAGGCCTTATGAGGCAACGGTTGAGAATGTGGCATGCTGTACTTACACCTTCTGCCCAGAAGTGGTTTGGCAGTGAGTGTTCTAGTAACATGGTTCTTGCCATATCTTGGATGGTCCTGTTCTTTCTTTACACAACCCCATTTTATTGTGGTGAGCGTGGTGTAGAGAAATTATGGGTGTATCCCTGATCATTACAAAAATCTTCAAATGCTCTGTTTTCAAATTCTTCTCCATGGTCACTCTGAATTACTGAAATTAGATATCCCTTTTCTCTTTCAACCTTTTTGCAGAAAACTTCAAAATTTCTTAATGCATCATCCTTATGAGATAAGAAAATTACCTAAGTGAAACGTGAATAATCATTAACAATAACAAAAGTATACGTCTTTCCTCCTATACTAGCAGTTCTAGTAGGCCCAAATAAATCCATATGAAGTAATTGCAAAGGTTTTGAAGTAGATACTATATCTTTGGTTTTGAAAGGTTTCTCGTCTGCTTACCCATTTGACATGCATCACAAATATGAGTTCTAGAAAAATTCAGTTTGGATAGACCAACAACTAATTCATGTTTGGACAATTTTTCTATCAAATGCATGCTAGCATGACCAAGTTTCCTATGCCATAACCATGGATCATCAGACATAGAGGATAAGCAAATATGACCATCTATCTTTTCAAAACTATCAAGGATATAAACATTTCCATACCTTTTTCCAGGAAGGACTATTTTACCTAATTCATCTTCAATAGCACTGTGATGACCCAAACGGTCATCACTTGTTTTAAATTAAACTCTATGTTTCCGAGGCCTTGAAAACCTCATTTAGAGTCACCTCGAATTGTGTGCGCAGTCCGGGCGCGTAGCCGGAAAGCTTAAATATAAAAATCTATGAAAAATTATAAAATTTGGTTATAAAATGAGCTAATTTGACTTCGGTCAACGTTTTGGGTAAACGGACCCGGACCCGTGATTTGACGGTCCCAGAGGAGCCGTAGAAAAATATGGGACTTGGGCGTATGCCCGGAATAAAATTCCGAGGTCCCGAGCCCGAGAAATGAATTTTTAAAGGAAATTGTTTTCTGAAATTTGTTTAAGGAAATATGAAATGAAATTTGATTAGAACGTGTTGGTATCGGGCCCGTATTTTGGTTCCGCCGCCCGGTACAGGTCTTATATATGATCTAAGATGTTTTTGTAAAATTTGGTGAAAAACGGACGTCGTTTGACGTGATTCGGACCTAAATTGCTAAATTTGATACTTGATGAAGTTTGAGAAAAATTTCTTGATTTTGAGGTTTGATTCATTGTTATTGAGGTTATTTTGGCGATTTGATCGTGCGGATAAGTTCGTATGATGTTTTTGAGTTAGTACCTATGTTTGGTTAGGAGCCCCGAGGACTCGGGTGTGTTTCGAATGTGTTTCGAGAGGTTTTTGACTTAAGAAAAGTTGCAGGTTTCTGCTGTTAGTGCCCAGGGATTTTACCCTTCGTGTTCGCGTGGAACCACTCGCGAACGCGTAAGGCAAAAATCCCAGGAGCCCATTTTCTTCTTCGCGAACGCGAAGGTTGAGAAGCGAACGCGAAGCTGAGGGGGGGAGACCCTTCGCGAACGCGCCCCTCCACTCACGAACGCGTAAGGTTGAGGGGAGGGGTCACCAATCTGTTCATCGCGAACGCGGTCCTTAGCCCGCGAACACGAGGCTCGAGGAGTTCCTACTCCACGAATGCGAGCCGTTGTTCGCGAACGCGAAGGCCTACCCAGCCTGACCCATCGCGAACTCGAAGTGCCCGTTGCGAACGCAAAGGGCAATTTTGCCCAGCTATTTTAAAGGACCTGAAAACAGTAGCATTCCGGGATTCACTCAAAATTTCATAACTTCTTCATCTTAACTCCAAATTGGGGGATTTTTGAAAGAGGATTTCACCACAAATTCATAGGTATGTAATCTTAGACTCATTTTCTTCAATTTCCATTAACACCCATTAGATTTCTAGGCCTAAAACATGAGGTTAAGGCTAGAAAATTAGGGATTTGGGTAGAGTTAGGGCTTTTTGATTAATTGTGATTTAGACCTCGTTTTGGGGTCGAATTCTGAAAATAATTATATATTTGGGCTCGTGGGTGAATGGGTGATTTGATTTTGGTCCGAACCTCGTGTTTTGACCAAGCTGGCCCGGGGTCGATTTTTGGGAAGAATGATTGGAAAGCTATAATTAATCATTGGAATTGGATTGTTTAGCATTTATTGATGTTATTAAGTCGATTATACATAGATTCGATTGGGTTGGAGCCGAATTTGAAAGGAAAAGTGGTGATTGAGGCTTGAGTTGGCCGTGGAAGTTTTAGGTAAGTGTTTGGTCTAACCTTAGCTTGAGGGATTAGGAGTTGAGTCCTATTTGCTATGTGGTATTCGTTGTGTACGACGTATAGGCATGGTGACGAGTATCTATACGTTGGTGTCTAGCATGACCGCGAGTCTTTATATTGTGAATATCTTGATTTCGTTGTATTCTTCGTGCCTTGGTGATGATTTCTAGTTGTTGTGAAAAGTTTGTGGAAGAAATGGTGACCTTTGAACATCTTGGAGCATTGGCTCGAGTTATATTATGAATTGTGAAAGTATATAAGATGATTGAACCCTTTGGAGCATTGGCTCAAGTGGTAAAGTGAGTTATGAAGTAGAAGTGAAAAATAGAGAAAGAGTTATTGAAATATTCCCTTCCCGGGATTTAATTGTTTAATTGTTGTTCCCTTGTCGGGATTTCTATATGATCTTGTTTATTCCCTTGCCCTTGTTTGTGATTGTTGTTTGGGTGAGGAAGAGTGTTAAAGAACGAAGGGTGATATCGTACATTGTTGATATTGTGAGGAAAGAGTGTAAAGCACGAAGGGTGATGCCGTGCCGCACGATGTACCATTCCGTGCCGATTGTATTGATTACATGGTGAGGAAAGAGAGTAAAAGCACGAAGGGTGATGTCGTGCACATCTTTGATAAATAATTGTTTTGGTGAGGACGAGAGTAAAAGCACGAAGGGTGATGCCGTGCAAACTGTTGATTTCTGTTCCTTGTTGATATTCGAGTTATGTTGTTCCTTTCTTTACTTGATGCCTTTCTATTCAAAACTGTTATCTCCCCCACAGCATGTTTCCCCTTTCCACATTGACTGGCTATTTCTGTATTTCTTTTTCCGCTGTATATATTTAAACAGCACAGGTTTATTTGGTAGTCTGGTCCTAGCCTCATCGCTGCTTCACCGAGGTTAGGCTAGGCACTTACTAGCACATGGGGCCGGTTGTGCTGATACTACACTCTGCACTGTGTGCAGATCCCGGAGCAGCTTTCGGACAGTAGTTGGAGGGCTTCCTTCAGTCCACCCGGAGACCCAAGGTAGACCTGCGGGCGTCCGCAGGCCCTGGCGTCTCCCTCTATCTCTATTTCCTGTTTCCTTCTCTTTTATTCAGAAACACTGTACTGTTATTCTTCAGACCTTGTATGTAGTACTCTTAGATAGTCTGTGACACTGTGACACCAGATTTTGGGTATTTGAGGTTTAGAAGTTGTAATAGACGTTGATTCCAGATATTTTATTGTTACCTTCCGCTTAATTATTTAAAGTTCCGCTGATTTCATGTTATCGCTTATATTTGTTAAAAAGAAGTAATTTGTTAACGAAGTAAGTAGTTA